CGGACATGCGGAGCGATTCGAACGGGATCGAGCTTTGCGTTCTTCATCATGGTCGCTAATAGGGAGCTCCATGTTCCTGGCAGGGTCGTTCCCACTCAAGGGGACTTCCATGCGTTCAGATGCTAGCGTGTCTAAACACAACTAAAGAATTCTTTGATGTCTTGCGCCGGTCTTCACAACCGACGGCTACCGTGTTCTCAACGGTGACCTCGATGACAAATCCAAAAGTCAACTTCATTATCAATCATGTCTAAGTTCTTCCTCACTACCAATCATCTTCTACAGTCTACCTCAGCCACTGAATAGCTTGGTTGCGCAACCATCATGTACATCCGGACACGGATGTTGGTCATTGGCTACACGTGCGGCCGCAGCCCACGGAGTGACCGAAAGGCCTGCCACTTGTCCAGTCCGCCCTGAACCAGAAACCTGCGTACCGTATGGGCGGTATTGCATTAACTACGGCGTTTACCGGCCTATCTGCGACCCCACTACTGTCTGGCCTTGTCCGTGCGGAAGGTGCGAAAGTCGACACGATTGATTCGATTCAGTCTGAAGCCAAGCGACATGTGGTGGACCTTGCGAATGCCTTGTCTGTGATGCACAAGCAAGTGACCGAAACGGCCGCGGGCAAGCGAAAGAAGACCCGTATCCAGCGGAAGGGAAATTGAACGGTCAAGTTGCTAACTTCGCGCTGGCAAGTTGACACTGCGTTAGAAGGGTCCGTACCATGTGGTCAAGGTGGCTTCCGACCACCTCATGGAAGTCCAACAGTTGGTCCCACCGGACGCGATCTCCTTGCACCATGCCAGTAGACTGCGTATGTACTTCGAGGGCGACATCGAAGTCGACAAAGACGTGCAGGCACATATTGTGTTTGGAGATGAAGGATTTTACTTCGAAGCCATAAAAGACCTACGCATGGATGATACGGTCTAGGAATTGAAGATCAAGTGGTACTCTTGAACGATTTGGAGTCCTCATGGGAGCCGGCCTTTTCAATCAATGCAGACGTGCCCGTACTTTTCCGTCGTTAGATCAAGGACCGTATGAATTGAGAACGACGTTAGCAAAATGGCTGAAGACATCGAGCGTGCGTGCGGCCATCCCTTGTAGGGGGGAAGTGTTCTCGGCGTCAGCCTCGTGTCGACTACACGTGCGTGAGTGTGTGTAGCCGATGACCAATATCCATGTCCGGATTTTCATGATGGTTTCGCAACCAAGCTATTCAGTGACTGAGGTAGTCTGTAGCAGATTATTGGTAGTGAGGAAGAACTTAGACATGATTGATAATGAAGTTGACTTTTGGATTTGTCATCGAGGTCACCGTTGTGAACACGGTAGCCGTCGATTGTGAACACCAGCGCAAGACAACAACGCCTACTGAAGAAAGCAAACGCTGCACTCCTAACTTGTCTAATAGAATTGGATTGTGAAATTAACGGAACATGGTTGGAGGATATTTTTATACATAGTACAACTCAATTTTTTTTAAATACGAAGGAATTTTTTATTGCTTCGCTCAACTTATACGTCATAATATATTGTCACGAACGTATATCATTATGTACCGGTAGGCACAACCAATGCATTGTATTTTTTTGCCCCCCACTCTCGCAATGGTGCCTGCCATGGTGAAGACCACGACTGCCCGACACACGACACATCATGTATTCGTCGTGTCGGCTGTGGTGGTGTCGGCTGTGGTGGTCTCGAGTTTGAGTGTTCTATTCCAATATTATCAACGGATACAACACTCACTGATAGTGAATTGGCATTATATTAACGTGACGGAAGGAACTTTATGACACTCCAACAAATAACGAGATGTGATTGGCCGGAACAAAGTTAAATGTTGTCGAAGAACTTTCAGGACCTCAACTCAGGCGAAAATTAACTTTACTACTACTAGTTACGCAGAGTCTACTCCGGAGTAATTCGGATCGAAAGGCGCACCAATATCCAGCTACTACAGTATTAATACTTTGGAAACTATTTTATTTGGCGTGGTTGCTGAATTGGTTAACTGTAATAATTACCTTAATCCTAATGGACGGGAGCATGTCATCAGGAAAGCACTTTCATTAGAGACTTTTAGCAAGTGCGAAATCTTGACTTTTCATATGTCAGATGTCTGCGGACTTGAGGTCAAAAGTGTGATGAATTCGAAGGTCGAACTTGGAACTCGGTGGATGCTGCTCAAATTATTTCGGGGCGACGTTTGAAGACACCTGTCGAGCGTATCCATACATTTGTAAATACTACTTCGAAGTACTATAGTAAACGAATGTATGAATACGTTCGACAGGACAGGTGTAACACACATACGGTACACGATGAATATCCTCGACTTTACCCCTAGCCAGGCTCCACACTCCCATTATTCAATTCGACAACAATGCAACCTTCCAGCTTCCTCCTCGCGTCGTTCCTTGTGGTGCTGTCCGTGACATCTGGCACGTCAGCCCAAGCCTGTTCTGCCCAGGGCAAAAACGTCACCGCGACGGGGTTCGTCATGGACAACTACTGCATCGATTTGGGGAAGCTTATGGACAACCCGACCGTAAAGACACTCGAGGGCCCCGAAGTGCACTCGATTCACTGCCTCGTGGACCTCAAGCCGTGTGTGGACTCGTTGTACACGTTGCTGGCGCCTCCCGAGAACGGCTCCAAGCTGTACACGGTCA